GCGTTAACGAAGATTCTTATAACGAAGTCCTGATCGGCTGGATCAGCAACTTCGTTATATCGAGGTGTGACTGTAATTCTATATTTTAGACCTCAACTTTACAATAAGATTATAATAAAGACTTTAAGAAATTTGATTGGTCAATTTGCTATAACAAGAGTATTTTTATTATATTTATTTAAAAAATTTATTATATCAAGAGTTCGCTATATTAAGAGTTAATTGTAGTATATGATTTTATTGTAATAAATTTGGTTTAATAAATTTGTATTTTATATATAAAAGAAATTTTCTAATATATTATAAAAATAAATAAATTAAACTAATATTAAATCAATAGATTCTATTTTAATATTATATAAAAAAATATTTTTTTGAATTTTTATTATATAAATTGATTTTAGTCTAGAACTTATAAATTTTAAGATTATATTATCTAAAATAATATCTTAAATAAAATACTTTGCTAAGATAGTAATATATAAAATTTCAATTAATTTTTTTTTTTTATTTGATTTGATTCTTTTAATAGGATTTCTAAAATTATATAAAAAGCAATAATATTAGTTGTTGAAATCTATTTACAAGTTTAATAAAATATGAGATTTAGTTATTTATGATTTTTATATTATTTTTGCATAAATCTAAATCAAAAAGATTATAATAAAATATAATATTAAAATTAATACAATTTTAATAATAATAATAAATAGTTTATTAATAATAAAAAAATAATTCTAATTTACAAAATCTCTTTATTTTTATATTCTTAAAGAAATTAATATTTGCAGTTAAAAAAGAATTATAAAATTACTAAACGCCTTAAAATTATATATTTATAAACTTATTTTATTTATAAATCATATTATAATTTTATGCTAAAATATATATATAGAAATTCAATAATACTATCTTTTTAACATCTTCTATTAATTATTATTTTAATTTAAACAAATTATGTTATTGATATGAAATGTATTCAATATGCATAATTAAAATTATTAACATGCTTATTATTGTTATCAGATTACTATATCAAATATTCAAATGTATTTAAAGAACCAATCAAGTGCTCACAAACGGAATAAGGGTGAAATTTTTTGTGGTGATAAAAACCCGCAACAAGTTTATTCTATACCTAAACTTAAACCTTACCTATATATGACTTCTATAATTTTCGATACCAGAGAAGATAATGGTTCTAGAAAAGTTGAAATATATGAAGCTATCGAGGAGAGAGAGAGAAAAAAAAACCTCACTTTCCAATTTAACATTCAAAACGAAGTTGGAAATGAAACGATGGAACTTTCGAGAAAAAAAGTTGAAATATATGAAGCTATCGGGAAGAGAGAGAGAGAAAAAAATCCTTTCCGATTTAAAATTCAAAACGAAGTTGGAGAAAAAAAGTTGAAATATATGAAGCTATCGAGGAGAGAGAGGAAAAAAAAAAAACCTTTTGAACCAGAAGATAATGGTTCCAGAAAAGAGGATGGATGAAATTAGATAAGCCTGATAGGGTTCAAATTTAAAAGACAGTCGGCCAGCAAACTTATTTTATTACCCGAGCCACGTTTAAAGCTATAAATAAAAGCTTTTCAAAAAATGGGAGTTCTAGAAAGCGATGTTGAAAAGGTACTCAACCTTTTCAAACTTGCGCAAATTGAAAACCTCCACTTGCTAGTCAAGTGGTATGTGCAGATTCAGAAATGGTGACGGTTAGATCAGGTGGAGGGTCGTGGTGGGAGATGCAGATATTGCCTAACGATGAAGTAGCTAATGTTTCTAGTTATAGTTATAGTTATAATAGTATAAGATTATATTTGTTATAGTATTTATTATCAAAATAAAGCAACCTCTTATTTTCTAATCCTATTATACTACCCTCTAAATCATTTTTATTTAATAATAGAATCACAAATCGATAATGTTCTGTAGAAGCTTGCTTTAGGATTTAGATAATCAATGAACCTAAAATAGCACAATTAAAAATTTAAATATGTATATAACGCAATTGCATATATACAAATTTCCATTATGAACCGACATTCAAAAAGGCACAAGTATTCCTAGTTCAAAAATTATCTTGTCGCTTAAATCAAGATTACATTAAATAGTATATGTTTAAGCAGATTTGGAAAAAGTTGAACCCAAATATCATGAATTTGATGTTTGAATTCGACTTTATTGATGTAATTCGGCAGTATCAAATAAATGTTTATTTAATTTCCATTTAATGTACTTTCCATTTAATGTCGAGCAAACAAATTTATTAATTGTTCATGTTATAATGAAATAAAGCTAATAACTTATTTGAAACCTACTATTTATCCATTTTCAAAGATTCCCTTATTTGTTTAATAAATGACCTTTGTGCTTGTCAACCATAATTCTCGCTTCTTCAATAGAACTGTTATAACTAAGTTTTTTTTTTTAAAAAAAAAAAAATTAAAAATAAAGACATTAGCCACGTGACTTCTTGTACATGATTAAAATATTATATACCAAATCCTTCCTTATAACATTTACCCAAAACGTTATTTTTCTAAATTTGATCTAACTCCTATATGGCTTTTGATATCTATCTATCTACCAGTCCTACAAGGACTGATCCATCCTATTAACATTTTCCAGGCCTATCAATATCGTTTGCATTCAAAGGTTTGCGACGTGACTATTAAGTTTGATGGTTCCGCATGAAATTTTTACCTCTAATCTTAAGTCTCAGCCAATCCACCAGCTATATCCAATTTTGCCAATACCACATCATAAGGAATCTTTTCTCTTGTCTGTTGACGACGAGATGTTGAACCTTCAACATAACATGAAATGATGAAGAAACACAGATCTCTGTAACTGTTGTTTAATGCACAATGATAACTTTGGTATTGAGTGCAAAATGTTGAAAACGGTTATGGTCACGCTTGTTTAAATATCAGAAAACATTTTGAAATGAAAGTATCGGAATGCTAGCATTAATAGATAATAATTGACTCCATCATTATAATTAGAATTAATTCAGTAATTTACGAATGAAAAAAAAATGTTCTACCAGGTTATAGATGAATTATTGTGCATTCATTTTCAGCCATCTAAGTAGCCAATCTTTGGAAATGCTAATATCTTCACTGACTGGAACATGTAAATTGAATTACATGGAGGCTTCTCAGAACCGGAATTTTTCTGGGCTTCGTCTGTTAATACATTTATGATACCAATGAAGCTACCCAAGCGGCTGCGTTGAAATGGCAGATTTTGACGACAAGAAATCGGATTCAGCACCGAGAAATACAGGATAGGACTAAGATAATAAGAAACTAAACGACACCATTCAAAACTAATTAATAAATCAATCAGATAGAATTTCAAACTTACTATCGCACTAAATTGGATTATAAGCAATTTTAAAATTGTAAAATTTTCCTTATCAGAAAGTCAAATTCTTTGACATCCATGTATAGCAATGTTTTAGTAAAAAATGATGTCTATGATAAAAGAACAGCATTAATACATTAAAATGAAGATAAGGAAATATAATTATATTATTTATTTACCATTCGAAGTTACAGTAATACCACTTGTAAAATTTAAAAGTTCCAATGCTGTCTGGTCCAATGATGCACCATCATCTATAAATCGAACTGAACCTAGCACATCGCCACTACCTTAATACCCAAAAATCCATCGTCTACGCAGGAACTTTTCAACTATTTCTTGGATGTACTTTATGAATTATATAGTACGACAACTAATATGTAAATGTTTTAACGATCCGGTAGGAATGCGGGATCTACATAAAATGGTTTGAAATATTATATATCATCTTCAAGAATAATTGTAATAAATTGAATAAACTAACCAATTACACACTGCAACTCACGCTTGTCAGTTGATAGTTTTCAACAATCCATTCCGTGATTTCATTCATGTTAATCATCAACGAGTTGTATACAACTTCTTAACTCGTACTATGTGCATTACCAATAATATTGATAGCCATTTGAAAATTTCCAATTTTTACTAAAGCATATAGAACTCACATACACGTTCCCGTAATTTGCAGAATATCTTTTTTATATTTTCCGGATCGACTGCAGTAAGTATTGATTAAGGTTTGAATCAACATTAACATATTGATTTCTTTCCAAAAGTAATTCCAGATTTCCAATATCATCAGCTTATGCAACTGATCTAATTTACCATTGAGCTGGTTTAACAAATGATTGTCAGAGTTAAGTTCGACTAGGGAAAAATGTTTACAAAGTGATCACACTGCTTTGAAAGTTCAGCATCATTCTTATGCAAAAGCCATTTTGATAATGATTCGTGAGGTTCAGGAACCATAACAGGAGTACCTTTTAACGATACGCGACACTAGACCCATTACCCGAGCGCTTTTATGAAGTATTGCCAATCTAACACCAAATCCAAATTCCAATGCAAATTTAAAGTCGTAAAGGTTCAGTGTTATATATTTGTTCAATGTATAATCTCGGCAAAGATTTCATTAAGAATTTATATGACCTTTTCAGCGCGATAGAATATAAACCCCATCATTTTCTGATTGTGACTTGAAAGATTCTTTATCAAAGATGAAATTACGACGAGGAACGTATGAATTTAATTTCAAAAGAGCTGTAACTTTTGTATCAATTGAAATTCTTGGTATTTTGACCAGACCTATAATTACGGTTCAGAAAAGCTGGTACAACATCTAAAGATGGAGCCCATTATTTGCACGAATAGTCGTAAGAAGAATCAGTTAATAAGGAGACTCCAATATAATATCTATTAAGAAGAGTATTACGATACTTTATTACCTTTTAAATATCTGAATCTACGAGTTATCTTAACATTATTAGTTCAAGATTCTTAGTCTTTACAAAAATTCCAGCAATTGGGATGAGCGATAGAATTATATCTAAAAAATCCTTGAGGAGTACTATAATGCAATGAAGAAAAACCAATTGATCGTAAAGCTATAATGGCCTGTGCTATGCTGATCACGAATATTATTTTATATATATGCTAAATCAATTACTAAATAAAATATAAAAAAGGTTGATAAAATAAAGGTTGCATATTAAAATATTAAGCATAAATTTGTTAGTATAAAATAATATGATATAATAATATTGATGAATGACTTTTTAATAATAAGTTTCAATTTAAATGAAAAATAATGCTATAAAAAAAAACCTTTAAAAAGTAGCAAAAAAAATATTATCTAAAATATATATCTTATAAAATATTATATGTAAAAAACTTTAGCTGTATTAAAAAAAAAATATTAGCAATAGCATGATAATAAAAGAAATATTTATATTATATATTTATATTTTTTAGATTATTGAGAAATCTACTAAGAAAATAATGATATTAATAAATTGTTTGATGAATTATTAGATAATAAGAATGTAATAAATAAAGATCTATAATAGTAAAATTTAGTAAAAATTAATAATATAATTGCAAAATCTCTAAGTATTTTGACATTTAAGAATAAAAAAAATATATAAATTAATAATTAATTATTATAAATTTATAATTTATAAAAAAAAATTTTTATTATAATGTTTTAAAAGTTTTTATATACAGTGGCTACCAAAAGAAACGCAAGTGTGATTGGTTACCTTTGAACGGCTATAACTCATCAACCACA